ACACACACACACACACACACACACACACACACACTACAGCTGTATTTTCCAAGAAAAGAGGGGAGGTGGGGGCACAGAGGAGAACTAGCCATCACATTTTTAAAATGGTTTTCCTGATTTGACGTTTGGTGTTTTGACATTAATGACATTAATGTTATTGATGATGTTTCATGGAGAAAAAGGCAAAAGAAATAAAGGAGAACTTGAAAACGAAATGATCATCATTTCCCTATTCTCCATGCCAGAAATAGACCCCTTTCTTCACCTGAGCCTGAAACAGACTTATTGTTCTCAGGTGTTTCCTTCATCATATGCATTTACCCGTCTGAAATCGCAGGAAATGGTTTTTCCATCAGTGAGCTTGTACACGGAGCCCTCTCCCGCAAAGGGCTTGATCTTTCCTGATTTGAACCTGAAAGTTTCCCTGCCTTCACTTACCGTCAGTCTCTTTAAAAGCCCTCACCCTCTTCCCCAAACACGCACCTCAAATAGTTTTTTAAAGCCAAAATTTTTGCTCTCTGGGGTGTTTTTCGGTAAATAGTAACGCTACATAAACACCTTCTTCACTTGCAAGTTGCAGGGAATTTAAATTTTACCCTCGTGGGCATGTATATTTCTTAAGGCTCATGGATAAACCCCACTGAGGTGCAGTCAGACACCACACACTGGTGATAACAGTTGCTGTGTAAAGGTGGGGCTGTAAACAAAGTAACTCAAAAACCTTAGAACGCTGTCCACTTTGGGCAGATTCCTTCCCAAACAAGTTTGAAAGGGCATGAAGTCTTTGGAGAAGTAGTTTTGTTTCTGTTAACGTTTAGTAATGATGGTTTCGAATACACTAGTACATGCACCGACTCTAGATTCCTAAGGTGCTGATTTGCTTTTTTCTCTTAATCAAGACCATATCTAGGGTTTATTCTCTACTCCAAGCCTCTGGACTTCCATTGTAACCTTAGCCAGCTGCTGTAGGCAACCAGCTTTCCTGATCTGGGCCTAGGTCTGCTCTTTTGAGAACTGTGCTTTTATCCTCCCAGGTGTTTTGTTTGGTTTTTTAATCCCATTTGCATCAGTCCTAGGATTTTCCAAGGGTTCCCTGATAACGCAAGGTTTCAGGCCCAGAAAGATGTGTGTTTGCAGGCTCTGTTGTTCCTAGTGCTTGCGCAATAAACCTTTCTGTTGGTATTTGGTAGATTTGGTGCTTAAGGCCTAAGACATGGTTTTGAAGCAGATCCTGGCGATCCAGAACTTCAAAGGCCTGTCAACTCAAAAGCAGCTGACGCCTCACCTGTCCAGGAAGCTGGACATTGCAAGTATTTCCTGTTTTTTAGCTTGTTTTGATTTGTTACTCTCACCTTCTCTCTAGAATTCCTAGTTTTGAAATATTGTATAGATGGTGTCTCTTTGTGACCTGCAGTGTAGCAGTGTATCAAGATGTTATCTTTAAGTAGCAGTGGATATGTGCATATATATATATATATATATACATATATTCCATATTCAGTAGGGGGTATTTAAAAGTATGTCTATTCCTAGTTTTAGTTAATTATCTTTTAATGAAAGTGTCACTCATATTCACATCTGTAATATTGGAAAGAGATAATTAGGTTTTCAAATGAGAATCAGCCACCTTAAATTTTGCACCAGAAAATACCAAGTATATTTCATTCTAATGAGATCTGTAGTGGGGTTTTAAAATTCATCATAACGTGCTTCAAGAAAGATAATTCAACAGACTCGCAAGATGAAAGGTTTTCTTCCTAAGTCCTCTTAAAGCTATTACATTGAACTTATGCAATTCTGATAAAATATTCAAAAATATTACATAAAGGCTAGAACCGCAGCCTCGCTATCGCCCTTGCAACCCTCACTTATACTCATTTGAAAGTTTACTTTGACTAAACTAACCGCTTCTATCTTCCATGCGCTGGGTTTTCTTTCCTGCGTGTGCCAGCAAAAGATGCGTGTTTAAATTGAGTGCCTACGGATCCGGAGTGCAATTCCTCCTTTGAAATAGGCTGGGCAGAGCGGAATTTGCACACAGCCAGGCACCCTTTATTTACATATATCTGCATATTTGCTCAGGCCCCCGCATTTCGCCATTAAAGTGCTTTCCTGTACGTAGCAGAATAAACTAAGCAGCGAAAACCCTTTCATGGCCCTAACTCATATTTCTGCTTAAAACTCCCCAGTAAACAAATCTCTGGTCCGATAATAATTACTTTGCCTCAATTAAAAAAAAAAAAACAAAATTCGAGTGGTGAAAGGGCACTGCTTGGGCAGTACTAATGTTTTTATTTTCTCCCCCTTCTCGCCGAGTGAGTGAGTGTGTGTGTGTGTGTGTGTGTGTGTCTAATGAAGTTTGGGAGTCGCGCGCGCAGGGGCGCGTGGGGTGC